GTTCAACAGATTAACGCATTAAATGAGGTCTTCTCTATGGCTACAAATGGCAGCAAGCTAACGATGACGACGAAGAATCCACTCTCTTCCCACCTGGTCTCGCCTGAGTATACAACCTCTCATGGCTGATACCAGTGTCAACTACGTTTGTAAGTGGGGGTCGAGTGAATTCTGACAGTCTATGTGAAGCATTGCGGACGCAGAGAGTATCCTTCTAATAATTACTCTGTCAACATGGGTTCAACGCTCACCTATATCATGACACAAGGGTGCATGACACAACATGACATGACAATACAACGTGGCGGCTCCCTTAATCCCAACATAAACCACATTTTCTTCCACCATATTGGTGGGTATTCGATTGGTGCTAGTGAGTTGGCTGTGTGATTGGCCAGCGTGCTAACAAATCAGAGGCGCATGCGGTAAACGTTTTGCCTTCCCTCCTCCCCACAGACCACATCAGCCTTTCGCATGCCTTCACGGAGAAGGAGGCGCGTGAATTGTTCTGGCAAATCGTGTGTGCCATCGACTACTGTCACAAGTTGGGCATTGTGCATCGTGATTTGAAGGCGGAGAACCTCCTTATCGACGCCGACTTCAAAATCAAAGTTGCCGGTAAGGAGACATCCCGACTACCCTGTTGGTAGATTACTTATCAGAAATCAGTGGACAGAGGAGGATGTGAGTAGGTGTAAGTGGAGTTGTTGCAGCTGCAATGGTAATGAGTAGGTATTGGGCAATGATGAGTGGGACTATGCAGCGGTGTGCGGAGACGCGCACAAAATGTTGCGTAGCTTCCTTCCCACAGATCGTCCATTCGTTTACCCGATCGTCTGTACTACCCTCCTCGCATCTGTTTGTGTCATCGAGGATGCCATGGTGTGGGCACACACACACACACATCGGTCTGCATTGCATTGCGCTGCACTTGGTCGTTCTACAATGGCAATGCTTATTGGCAACACTAGTCTAGCTATAGGCGGAAGGCATCACGCTCCCTCCTCCCTATCCTTTGTGCCTTTTGAACACTAAGGTCTTGTTACATCTGCTTATGCATCACTTTACCGAATCTCTTTTCAACGACGTCTACCTCGACCTGGTGACAACTCACTCCTTATTTATTTTGTGATTTCGCCTTCAGACTTTGGCTTCTGCAACTTCTTCACCTCCGAGCACCTCCTTACAACCCATTGTGGCAGTCCACAATACGCCGCTCCAGAGCTCTTCAAAGGCGAATCATACGACGGTCCATTGGTAGACGTTTGGGTATGCCACTTAACCTCGCTTCAGTAGACTTCATTACTTTTTTAGTTATATTAGGAA